TCTATTATTTATTATTGATTATCATCATCTTGCATCATCATCATCATCATCACTCATCATCATCATTATGATATTTAGTAGTGTGTGGTGTTGTTGTTTTATTGTTGCTTTGTCACTGCTGCTGCCTGTAGTGATGCGCTTGCTGCTGGCTTCTGCGCATGCTGCTGCTGCGCTGCTTCTACTAGCTACTGCCCTATCTGTTGCTCGGCTGCCTACTGGCTACTACCGCCGCCGCGATTGGCAGCGAGTGAAACGATGGCAATGTATCACGCCCGTTAATAAGTGGGCCCTGAACCTATCTGAATGCGCAATGTGTTATGTATGCGCGCATGGTGTATGCACTACCTATTTAGCCCTAACTGACGTGCACAGTGTTAACTGCATAGTTGTATGGCTTTGTTAAGAGCCAGAGAGATGATGCAGCGGATGATATGCTAAGGAAATAGTATCAGTTAGTGACATAATGAACAGCATCATGCAGGCGGGATGCTAACCCGGCGTCTATTCACCGATCCATCCATCCATTCATCGATTTATCCAATTCATCAATCGTCCTCCATCCATCCATCCATCCATCCCACCATACTATCCATCCATCATCCATCCACTCCATCCATCCCATCCATCATCCTCCATCATCCATCCATCCATCCAATCCATCCATCATCCATCATCCATCCATCCATCCATCTATCCATCCATCCACCATCCATCCATCTATCCATCCAATCCACCATCCATCCATCCATTCCACATCTATTCCATCCACTCCATCATCCCACCTCCATCCATCGATCATCCATCCATCCATCCATCCATCCATCCCATCCATCCAATCCACATCCATCCATCACCATCCATCCATCCATTCCATCCATCCATCCACTATCTTTATCTATCCATCCATCTTCACCATCTCATCTATCTATCTATCCATCCATCTCCATCCATCCATCATCCACCCATCCATCCAATCCATTCCATCCTCCCATCCACCACTCCATTTATTTCTCACATTTAATTCATGCATGGATGGATCGGTATAATGAATGGCATGGTTGCGAGTGGCATGGAATGCGCATGGATGGATGGATGGATGGATGATGCGTATGGATGATGGATGCGATGGATGGATGGATGATGCATGCATGCATGCATGCATGCATGATGGCCTCGGGATGCGATGCATGTATGCATGGATGGAAGCATGGATGGCATGGCATGTTATGGCATGATGATGATGGATGGCATGGATGGATGGATGCATGTGATGGGGGATGGCCATGGATGGTAGATGGATGGATGGATGGATGGATAGATGGATGGATGGATGGATGGATAAATCGATGAATAAATGGATGGATGGATGAATGGAAGAATGGGTGAATGGATGGATTGATAGATGGATGAATGGATTAGTGGATGGAACGATAGATGTATAGATGTATGAATTGATTGAAAAAGGATGAATATATAGAAACTTAGATCTCGCATCTTACGCTCCAATCACTACCATCTCACTAACATATTTCGCCCGGAGGACGACTATCGGGTCAAGGCACCTCCAACACCGCGGCTTTAACATCGCTTCGTGGCGCACCGAGATAAGCAAATATTCACTCTCCACCGACAGAGAGGCCGAACGGCAGCTTCGACCACGTCACGCGCCGTGACGTCACGCGCGCGCAATCACGCTGTGTCGGCACGTAGATAGAGACGGCTGACGGCGGAAGATATCCGAGGATTATATCATCGTCTGCATCACCGCGGTCACGTGATCTCCGCGGTCGGGCCGCCGACGCTCGTACTACGCAAACACTAAAAGCGACGACAGAAACGGTGACGACAGCTGCAGAAGTACGACCTGCAGCAGAATCAACAGCAGTAACAGCAGCAACAACAGCAACAGCAGCAGCAGCAGCAGCAGCAGCAGCAGCAGCAGCAGCAGCNGTGTGTGTGTGTGTGTGTGTGTGTGTGTGTGTGTGTGTGTGTGTGTGTGTGTGTGTGTGTGTGTGTGTGTGTGTGTGTGTGTGTGTGTGTGTGTACGTGTGTTAGTGCGTTGACGTGTGCGTGAGCATATATGTGTGCGCTCAATCGTTGCTATGAGTGTTCAGTGCACTAACCTTACGTTGTCGGTGCTCCCGGTCTATCAATCGCTCGCTCTCTCGTTTCCTATTCGCTTCCCGATGCCAAGATCCGTTTATTCGAACACCAATGCGGAGTCGTATTCGAGTACAGAGCAACGGCCGTTAATTTAGATAGCGTTATCTGCTCTCTTTCTCTCTCGCTTTCTGTCTCTTTCTCTGTCTTTCTCTCGAGCTCTTAGAATCTTTGATCACCAGTAGACCACTTTCCGCTCTATGGCATCCGCTCTTGGCAGTCCCTCTCTCTCTCTCTCTCTCTCTCTCTCTCTCTCTCTCTCTCTCTCTCTCTCTCTCTCTTT